AAATTGACGGGGTTGGGCTTCGCCAGGGACATGGCCGAAGTCATCGTGGAAACGCTTGGGATGGACCCCATCGGGCAGTCGGCCGATGCCGGAGCAGGACTTCCTTGTGTTTGAGTTTGGTTAGCTATGGGACGCGACTTATAAGCAGAACTTCCTTGTGTTTGAGTTTGGTTAGCTATGGGACGCGACTTATAAGCAGAACTTCCTTGTGTTTGAGTTTGGTTAGCTATGGGAAGCGACTTGCAAGCAGGACTTCCTTGTGTTTGAGTTTGGTTAGCTATGGGACGCGACTTGCAAGCAGAACTTCCTTGTGTTTGAGTTTGTTTTGCTATGGGACGCGCCTTATATGCAGGACTTCCTTGTGTTTGAGTTTGGTTTGCTATGGGACGCGACTTGCAAGCAGGACTTCCTTGTGTTTGAGTTTGGTTAGCTATGGGACGCGACTTGCAAGCAGAACTTCCTTGTGTTTGAGTTTGTTTTGCTATGGGACGCGCCTTATATGCAGGACTTCCTTGTGTTTGAGTTTGGTTTGCTATGGGACGCGACTTGCAAGCAGGACTTCCTTTTGTTTGAGTTTGGTTTGCTATGGGACGCGACTTGCAAGCAGAACTTCCTTTTGTTTGAGTTTGGTTTGCTATGGGACGCAACTTGCAAGCAGAACTTCCTTGTGTTTGAGTTTGGTTTGCTATGGGACGCGACTTGCAAGCAGAACTTCCTTGTGTTTGTTTGGTTTCCATGGAAGCAACTTGCAAGCAAACCATCCTTGTGTTTGCAGTCCTGTCAGTTTCCAAGGGCTGCACCTGCAGCCTCATTTTACAGCAGAACACCCAATTCTAATCCTCCAACTGTGTTCCCAATCCTATGGCAGCGACCTCATCCTAAACTTGCGAAAGCCTGCAATCCCCGTCCTGTCGACCAGGGTCCCATCCCCATCCCTGGCCAGGGCTCCCAATCCCCTCCTTGGTCAAGGTTGCAATCCCCATCCCTCAGACAGGGATCCCATCCCCATCCTCACCCCCGACAGCAATCCCCATCCCAAAAGTAGTGTAGCACGCCTAATCCCTAATCCTCGCCCTGGGCCCCACATCCCATCCTGACGTCGTCAACCCTATTCCCCATCCCGCCTGACCAGTACCTGCCCCCAATCCCCCATCTCTGCAACCCTCTGGTTAGGCTGACTTGGCAGTCTTGGCATCTTTATTTTTGGACCCTGCTTGAACTCACCACCGACATTTACCAAGATGCCTGCAAAACCTCGCTTGCTGTACCTTGTTAAGACAGGGCTTCAGTTACGTACCTTTTGGACATACAGATATACATATACTAGGGTTGGGCACTACTGGTAACGCGCGACCATTACCCCATTTGTTGGGCCAGTTACATCTTTGTGCTCGACTACTGCTGCGAGGATAAATGTGTGTGTGTATTTGTTACATATCTGCCGGCCCGATGCTGACTGGGATATTTAACCATACCCATCATAGAGACTGCCGAAGCTCTCTGCTCCAGTTGCAGCGGGGTGCATTATCCAGCCATTGTCCTCTCACATCCAAGCTCAGAAGGCCCCAGTCCTCCATTCCTCATCCCAGAGCTGCTAAGCTGACCCCCATTCCACTCCTAGCACAGGAGGACTCGATCCTCCCCAATCGACTGCACAGGCAGCCACAATTGGCAGCTCACCTGTGGCTCCCATCCACAAAGCGCAGGCGGGCTGTACCTGCCCCTTAAGCCCACCACAGAAGCCACGCCCTGGCCACATCAACCAAAAAGCAAACATGACGATTTATTCGCTTTACATTCGATCCACATTAAGATGGAAAATGATATTGATCCACTCACCCTGCTGACCAGCTCTCAGCAGCAGAATAAGCTGGGCATTCAAAAAGAACATGATGCTCATCTTCCACCTTGTGCAGCATGCAAAACTCACAGATCCACTCTGCTCACGGGGCTTTCCAGCAAGGCACGATTCGCAGCTAGTTGCCAACAGCACGTTCAAATGGTGCACGTCCGATGGGCCCGTGTACAATCTCAGGTCAGCTCATGCAACTATAAGCTGTCGCCTAAGCGATAATTATTCGCTGTGTTTTATCATGACTTCAGGTCCATTACCAATTTATATCCATGGTGCTACAATCCCACTATATATCCAATTGCAGTCACAGTAATAAAGTCCTGCTTAGATCGATTGCATCGTCAGGACATACATACAGCAAGGCTGCAGTTCTTGCTCATTAAGCAAGCTGCCATACATACAACGTCCACAGCACGTATGATGTGTGGGACAGGGGGTCATACCTTCACCCTGCGGCCGCTACACGGCAGACCCTGCCTTCCCCGGTATTTCGGGGCACCCTCATCCAGTCACTCTAGTCAACTTCTCAGTGGATCGCTCAGGTTCCGCACCCACCACCAGCATCCAACGGAATCTGCCAGATCGACGGTGGCCCAACTTCAATCCTAGATAATTCGCAAGATCACTATATCCCAGGTCACCACCGTCCATCGACCAAGGCAACTCAACCTTCCACCATCAGAGGATTTCCGACTCTAACAGGTCTCGATCCCGAAATCTCCCGGGGTTAAAGGTCTGTGCCTTAGCAGTAGTCCCTAACCTAATATACATAATCATGCAGCAAAATGTGTCTTCGTCCCTGCCTGCGTGGCAAGGTAGGTATTTGAGGCACGAAAGGCCAGTCCGTTGTCTGCTGCCAGCTAGGCTGAAGCTTGGCACTTCCGACATCTTATTTTCTACCACCCCACTCGGACTCACAACTGACACTTGACAAGATGCCTGCAAGGCCTCGCGAGTCGAACCTGAGGAAAACGGGGCATCAGTTTAAGTACCTTTTGGACATACACAACAATGGCCAATTCATGTATCGTGGGCCAGCTCCAAGTAGCACTTGACTACTGCGGCTGGAGTAAAGAAGCATGCAAACTTCTGGCACTGTCCATGACCCTCCTGCTGCTGCCGATGCACCCGCAGTCATTCGCAGGATTGCTGGGGTTAATTGACCCTACGATTGCCGTTGCTCAAGTTGCTCAAAAACGAACGCAGGGCACGCCGGGTTCGTGCAGTTCCTTGACACCAGCCATATTGAGAACAAGTGCGCAGTCCATCACATTCACAGCCCCGTCCGGCAGGGTTGCAACGATTGGGTCCAAGCGGGTTCTTTGCCTCGTTCCAGTAGTAGCTGGCTGACTTCTGGCATGCTGCTGGAGGCGGTGGCGAAGTTGGTCTGGAAATTCCTTGACACCAGCCATAAGAGGAACAAGTGCGCAGTCCATCACATTCACAGCCCCGTCCGGCAGGGTTGCAACGATTGGGTCCAAGCGGGTTCGTTGCCTCGTTCCAGTAGTAGCTGGCTGACTTCTGGCATGCTGCTGGAGGCGGTGGTGATGGTGGTGGTGATCGTAGGGGCGGGGATGGTCTGGAAATTCCTTGACACCAGCCATAAGAGGAACAAGTGCGCAGTCCATCACATTCACAGCCCCGTCCGGCAGGGTTGCAACGATTGGGTCCAAGCGGGTTCGTTGCCTCGTTCCAGTAGTAGCTGGCTGACTTCTGGCATGTTGGTGGTGGTGGAGGCGGTGGTGATGATGGCGGTGATGGTGATGGCGGTGGTGGTGATACCAATGGTGGTGACGGAAGTGGCCACGGTGGTGGAGGTGCTGCCTCCCATCGAAGTCCAATGATACTGCCAACATAACCTGACATGAAGCCGACATTGGCACTGTACGAGATGCGGATGAAACCATTGTCTCCCCAGCGGGTGCCCCAGCTGTTCTTAACAATCCAGTACGACCTACATAACATCAGATGGGGATGATGTAGGTTTGGGGTTATACGTGTGTTGGATCTATGTGATAAGGAAAGCAGACGCCTCATCGGGGCTGCCAGTACGGCAAATTTTATGGCGGTATGTATGGCTGGCTGGGTGGTACAGATTAAGCCATGTTGCTTATTGACAGATCGTTTTTCTATCCGACGTGATACGCACACCACGGTGAACACGACATACACAGGTATACGTAACTACCGAAAGTACCCACAGGCAGGGGTCAGCCAAGGACCACCAGGAAATTCCCAGTCACCAGCCCCACACCATATTCCAGGACGGTCATCGACAACGGTCGATCAGTTAAAAAGTAACTGGTGCAACTAACTTTGTTGTCACTTTGATGAGTTATACCGCCCCCCTGTCGGCCGACCTGCACTGCCGACCCTAAAACAAGTGAAGATTACTTCAGGACTATAGCCCCCGGCGTGTATTAAAAAGGGGGCCAGAGGTGAAATGGTTGGGACTCGCTGTTGACACCGCCATATATAACTGTTCTCGCAGGTATAGGCCTGCAGGCCCTATCCATGTTGCCACTGGCAAGTTGCCAACTTGCCAGTCTTCCAAAACCGTCCATCCACTGGCATGCACGTAATGAGATGTTCGTCCGATTCACCCTCAGGTACCCCCAGATGCCATCATTAGGCGCACTCGTACACTGGGCGCGCATTCAATTGTGACGTATATCAAATTTTAAGTGTCATGTATACCCGATCCAAAATTTGAATGTCATGTGCAGCCGATATCCAACATTCTTCAACCTTCAACGTAATCAGGCATGTGTATCATCATCCCAGTTTAATCCGGCGACGCAGCTGACCGCCGTATCGATTTGCTGGCTCGCGATTGCACTCACCCGATATCATTATAGCCGACGACAAGGACTTGATGATAGCCAGCTAGCGCGCTAATGCCATCCCAAGCATATGGCCTGCAAAATGCATTCCCGTGCGTGTATGTTGGCAGCATGACATAGGCAAGTGTTTTAGAGACAACAAAAAACAATGTCGCCACGCAGAAATATGGGATAATGTAGACAGAGGCACCTACACAGCTAATTTGCGGCAGCAGGGGTATACGTAGCTAGGGTGCCTGTAAACTTTAGGGTAACCGTCGATAGATCGCACCGGTACCCCGTATGTTAGATAGGGCCCCATCCCTGAACACAGACGAGCCAGCCGGAGCTAGAAAGCAAGAACCGAACCTCTCAAGTCACGTGCAACACGTACCCACCTAACGCTACTCGGCTGCTTTGGAGGGCACCGAGAGTCAAGGCGTAATAAACATTTCCATGCACACGCCACCACACGCATACATACATACACGCAAGCATACAGGCACATCCACGCACATACATTCCGTCCATGGGCCCCCGGTTTTAACGGACTTGTAAAATCCTAGTAAATTTATATATATAAACAGAGCGTTATTTTTGTTCGGCTTCCCATGCTCGCCTCTTTCGGCAACCTCCTACCACGCATACACACACGCATACATAGATAAGTATGATGTGTAGGACGGGGGGCCATATCTTCACCCGTGGCAGCTACCCGGCGAAACCCCTGCCTTCCCCGGTATTTGGGGGTACCCTCATCCAGTCACCCTAGTCAACTTCTCAGTGGATCGCTCAGGTTCCGCACCCACCACCGGCATCCAACGAAATCTGACGGATCAACAGCGGCCCAAATCCATTCCTGGTCAGGCACTACTGGTAGAGCACGCACCAATGGCCCCGGGAGATCCCGGGATCGAGATCTCTTAAGGTCGCAAATCCTTCCTATGGTGGAAGGCAAAGCGCCCCTAGTCGATGGATGGAGGGGATCTGGGATATGATTTACTTGCGAGCTGACCATATATATATATATATGATATATATGTATATACTTACACACACGCACACATACGTCGTCTCACTTGCACGCGCGTGCATGTGCGCGCACATCACATCCTCTTTTTCGCCATTAGGTTGACCACTTTACATAGATAGCAAAGGACTTGTACGGATGTGGTACGAAGTTACGGCACTTACGGTGAGGATGCTCTCCATCGGAAAAAGTCTCCGTATACGGCAAAATATGAAGTCACAGCCCCGTACATACGAATATGCTGCTTTGCCTACATATCATTGGCACGGAAGTTCGAGTTCATTATTGACTGGCAAATCATGTAATCATGGTAATGCGGCAAGGTTGGCGGAAATGTGGTGTGCATCGCGTATGCATGCATGCCAGCAAGCACTTGCCACACTGAAATGGCGGCATGTGGTAGCAACACGGCGGAATGTGCAAATCCCGCCGCATGTCTTTGGCCTTTAGATCTTTTTTTGTTGTTTAATAAGCTGCTGATTTTCCTAATCCTGCCAGGCTTAGCGGTGTAACACAGGAATGGTGGAACACGGCGTCAGGTGGTTACCGCTCTTCCGATCTTACGACTATGTACGCTGCATGCTCGTGTGGACGGAAACCCACCTGTGTGATATCAGTGTACGCGGTATCTTTGAAACCGCCCTCGGCTCGCCGCTCTGGTGGCGATCCAAGTGCGCAGCCTCGTGAACCAGTGTATGGATAATTGAGTTCGTACGGGATATTCTTGGTGACGACAACTTTCGCTGCCGCGGTTGCAAACCAACCGGAGTCGCAGTTTGGAAAGGCAGCTGAGGACATGCCGTTGCAAAAGAAAAGCCTGTGGAGGAGTTTAAATGACGACCCAAAAGATAAGCAAAGCGAGGAGCGAGGCACCAAGAAGAAAGGTAGTGGTGATGTGCGCACACACTTAAGCCCTTTTAGCGGTAAGGAGCAGTAGGTGGGTGGCTCAATCTCTTTAGTGACGGAGTCAAATATATGATGCGTCACGAACCTTTTCCCGACAGCAGCAGCAGCAGCAGCAGCAGCAGCAGCAGCAGCAGCCGTTCCCATCCCATTGCCACTTGGTAGCGCTACCGCAGCCCAGATATGATTATAATGTTTGTTCATGCATATCATGCATCATAGCTCGCTCACCATTGCTCGGAGTAGTCATTGCTGTTTACAGTCGTCTTCCTCGCAGCTGCGACGGCCGCCTCCGCAGCACCGGTTACCGCAAATGCAACGCACGAGCCGCACCCGCCCTGGTCCTTGACTGGGCTGATGTAGTTACTGCCATTAACGGATCTTGAGTCCCAGACTGGATACAGCAGGGCTGAGAGTAAGCCGTCGGATGTGATGGAGTCTGAGGAGTTAGAGTTGCTGCTGTTGCCTTCGCGACTGATAGCTGCCACCTGTTGCAAAAAAAAGTTGCAGTGAGGATGAGAAGTAGGGCACGCAAACGCCAAACAAGCAAAGTGAGGACTTCCCATTTTGTTCGCACAAGAAGGCACAATGCGTGAGCGAGTGTGTGTGTGAGAGAGTGTGCTACGTGTGCATGGTGAGAGGGGAGGCCTTTTCAGCGGCCAGCTACGTCCTACACGCTAGCTATAAATATATCACAAAGTTAACTACTCACGGTGGATGCTACAGCTTGAAGCAAGATGCTTTCTGGCAGTTTGGTCAGGTCGTCAACGCCCTGGTCCTTGAACATTGATGCCACCTGGTGCGACGTCGCGGCGCGATCGTGATCGTGATCGTGATCGCGGCAGCAGCAGCCCAGCGGGGGCCAGCGAGAGGAGGCAGGCAAAAAGGTTCAAAGGTAGGCGATAATTACAATGCGCCATGCATTTATGGAGTTATATAGTTTGGTAGGTGTTGTATTACGTCTTATCGCAGGAAAAGAACCGATCGGCGGATGCTACATCCCGTGATACCCAGAATACTACAGATGGTGCCCACCCTGAGGCATAGCATTCATAGCGCCGAGCCTATAAATAATTTCACATGCATCTCCTGTAAAATGGAGGATCGGCGGAGTCATGTCTATAGATAATTCATCTTCAGGCCTAATAATTTTACCATGGCACGACCATCGTAGATCATCGTAGTAGCTGAAAGCCAGCCTCACAGCACGGCACACATACTAACTATGTATACGCGCGAAGCGCTCGACCAGCATCTCGAGAGCTTGTATTTTCAGCGGCCAGCTACTACAACCATTCTATATTATGAATCTATGCACGATCTATATTCCTCGGTCCTATCTATTAATATGCGATCATCACCCTGTGTGATATATGTTTTACACATACACTTATATGTCTACATGGCACAAATATCCCACCCGTCACGGGCTTCGTCATTTTCTGGGTGCATAAAGCACTGATTAGCGCAAAGATGAACATCGGGGGTATACCTCACGCCGACAACCCACCATACCGTTTCCGCCACAGCGATCGTGGCCATCATGCCCTGCACTTTTTGTTCTCCGGTCTGACGGACGGTCTCAAAGCTCAAGCCATCCTGTGGGATTATTTTTGGCAAGGCACACGCATACGCATCGTCACCAGCAGCGCCTGGCAGCATAGGTATGCATGTAGGCGGTACCGCTTAATAACCGCTTAGTGTCGGATACACGCATGCTTTTCGTTGTCGCGAGCTGCTGCTTCTGGATGGCGCTATCGTGCCAGTTATTATGCATCAGCCGCTCATGCCCCTACTGTATCGGCGCAAAATAACTCATTACGAAACTGTTAGTTTCTATCCGTAATTGAAAGGTGTTGCATGCATGCTTGGCTGCTGCTGCTGCGCCGATCGGTGACCGTACGACTGCCGCTCCAACTGCCGCTCCAACGGATTCAGTGGGCGAGAGCGAGGGGGATGCATGGCACCATATGTATAAATTTAGAGCACACACACTCGCAGAAGCAGATTTCAGTTTCCGTTTCAAGCTCAAGCTCAAGCTCACGCACCGGCAAGCTAAGTCCAGAGAGTGTGCGATTGGAGTAATAGATTCCAACACAGGACGACTCGTTGTTGCCTGTACTAGTGCCGTTCATCACAGGAGAGAGAACCGGCGCCATGGGGAGCAGCTTGAGCGACCCGCTGGTATGGAAGCCGTTACAGAACTGTGTTTGGTCGCAAGCGGCTGCGATGCTGGCAGGCGTCATGCTGCTGGCATTAGAGGTGGGGGAAGAAAGGTTCAGCGACCCGGGCACCTCCTGCACTCGCGGGTAGAAGGTGTAGCCAGGGACCACTGGGCAATCTGCACGGCAAATTACGGCAAAATGTACGGCAATTTCGTTGCTGGCACACATGTGACGCATGCCGTGGACGAAGGATGGGTAAGAGGGCTACTAGTGCCACCACTGCGGCAACATGCATAACGAATTCAAGTAATGATGGAAGTGAAAAGACGTTTTGAAGTTGCTCTCGAGGGCCTTTTTCCATGCATGGGGGCAAGGCTTCCGTTTTTGTTCGTTTGCTGCATTCCCGCCATGGCCATGCATCATGATGCTCATCATGTATGTATGTATGTACGGCATATATATATACATCCGGCAGGGAGGCGCACAAATACTCCTAGCACTCTGCAAAGCCAGCACGCCACCACTCATGATTGATGCTAGTGAAAGTCGAACAGGGGAAAAGGTGGCCAAGATTGTGCTTCGAGCTCGCTGGCTGCCATGCAAATGCATTTAACACATTCACATGTGCATCCTCCTATCTCCCATTTGACTGCGCGCCAAGTACAGCTGCCTGCCGCCTTACCGATTGCCGCAAAGGTTTGAGGTGCATCTGCCGCCAGCAGTAAGAGGACCGAAATCCAAGCTGAGAATACCAGGGCGCCGGCCATCCTGCATGCCAGCATGTATATTGTTGTTATTGTTGATGACGTTGATGTTGCAGAGTAGGAGACTTCTGGGGCCAATTGCACAGATTCGGACTATCATATCTAGAATTGAACACCAGCACCATATGGTGTTCAATTCTAGAATTGAACACCAGCACCATATGGTGTTCAATTCTAGATATGATAGTGGTGCTAGATATGATAGGATCAACATTGCGGGTTAAGGTATTTTTTATCCGCACCAATCGCGCCGCGAATCCACGGGAATGTTTCAACGGTCTTGATTAAGGAACGGATTGAAGTAATTCAATTGCCATTCCGTGGAAAATGGGAAAAAGAGTACTGCTGGACATTTAAAGATCATCGATTACCAACGTGAAGGCGTTGCCGCACCGTGACGTTAATTCCCAATGGAAACACGCCCTCAGGTAAACGGAGTAACCCAAGGATAAGTATAGATGTTATTAAGCCTACGTGTGAATAGGTAGGATAGCTAATATAGTAATCCATGGATACTTCGTTAAAACAAGGTGGGGATCTGAACGGCTCAAGTTCATGCGTCAGCAACAGGGTAGGCGAACTATTCAGGCCTCTCGCAAATTAAGCTGCTGGACAAGGTCCGACACTGCTTAAATCCAAGCAAGCAGTGAGGACTATTACAGGTACCCAGCTTAACAGATAACCAAACTTACGATGTCATCATGCTAAATGCCCCCGGATGCATAGGACCCCACGTACTGCGTTCGTTGAGCTTTGCATTCCCCCTGCTGCTGATGCACCTACCGTAAGCCACTGTTGGGAAATACAGCAGCGCTCCAATTTGAATTATTTATGTGTAGACGACTTCAAGCCAATTGGAGGCTTCCGTCGCGCCCGTCGTCTTTCCCGTTGCACCCCTGGTTGCGCGCTGCTCACACGCGCCGATCAGCACCTTGATTGTGCGACCTACCAGAACCCCATCACACAAAGAAGTGTTGCTTGCAAGGGTAAGCGAGGAAATGTTACTCTCACTTAGCTAGCACTGTCACTCATATCTAACGGAGTTACTTGCTGTACTGCATACGCCGTACACATAGCTGCGCTCCGTCATCCCCGCAAGAAGGGCCGATGAAGGGCGCTCGCTCGCTCTCCGTAGCAGAACATTGTGATGGGGCCCGCGCATCCGCTGAGAAGCTGATGAAATTGCAGTTGATGAGTTCAGTCAGGTTCAATCCCACCATCTACCTAATAGGAGGGGTCCTCACACTGATAAGGATTTGCGACCTTCTAGCCTTCAGCAAATATCGGGACGAAGCTCCATGAAGCGATGAAACAAAGCTGTCGCAGGGCGCGATGTGTAGCTGCACGTATTGACCTATCGCAATGCACCCGGCAGGTCGTTTCGTCGTAGCTGCCGAAGGACTGTGGGCGATCGATTGGACCGCCCGCCTGTTGTCCGAACTTAATATGACAGATGGCATAATTACTGCTGAGCACTGCTTATTATTTTGTGCATCTGCTCTTGTGTTAAAATATTAAATTGGTGAATGCACAATGTGGCTCTGTGGCCTACTGTCGGTCGTAGGTTCGTCCACCTCGGCTTATTTTAGCTCTGCTGTAATTAATTAAAACATGTTTATATTTGCTGACTATGAATTCAGGTCTAACCAATAATGATATTAGTAAGCTTGCGGCTTGCGACTACTTTCGGTCGAGTTCGTCGTTCGAATGCCGCACTGCTACAGAAGTCATATATCCTATATATCCTATAGCTTGCGTACCTACGTTTGGTTCTTGCGAGTCGACCTGGATGTGGTGGACCTTACAAAGTTAAGGACCGAACCAGAGAACACAATTTCAATTCTTGATAATCTTTGGTAGAATATTTGTCAGTGGGTAGCGGAAGTGCGTTCCACCTTAGCGAAGCATACTCCACATATTTGGCCTCCCCACCGCGCCCAAAGGCGGGAGGTGGGCATAGCTGGTTCATAGCTCAGAAATCCATACCTGCGTATGGCCGGGCCTTCATCTGAATAAAACTGGGACCTGCGTCCCGGGCTTGTACATACACGCATCCAACAAAATGCAATGGAATGGATGGCATTTTGCCGAACCAACCGCCCACCCTAGAAATGCGGAGAAGAACAATCAGGCAAGGTAACGCGCATGCAGTGCTAAAACTTGGCAGCGGATACAGAGCAATCTCCTCGATAAACTTAATATAGGTTAAGGGGTAGAGCAAAGGAAAAAGGCAAGTCCTTGGCATGGATACAACAGGATACAAGCGATGGCTCGTCCATACTAGTTCGCACCAGAACCAGTACCGAGGTCTCTTCACGCTGTGATATGCCCAAGTTCTGCTTGAACTATCAACATTTCCCCGCGGGCAGAACTTTGGCGCACTCATAACAAAAACCCAGCGGACTCCCATGCACTGCCGAAACTTCACAAACTTGAAATCACTGGTAGCGCTTCGTAAACAAATCTGCACCATATCGTAAGTAAGGCCATGTAGTAGCTGGTACACAATACGGCAAACACATCAACGACAAGTGCGCGCGAAGTTTTCGGCGGCCAGCCACTACAAATGTCTGAGTTCAGTGAACCGCAAGCCATTCCATTGCATCAGTTTAAGCTTTAGGCGGCTAACAGAGCACGCAAGGGACGGCGTTATATACCTAGGGAGGAGCGAGTATGTCCCTGCTGCGGCACTGATAGCCATGTTGAAGATGAGAAGCAAATTTTGCTGGGCTGTCCGGTGTACGACAAAATCAGATCTGCTATGCATTTCCCACGCTTTGAGCATGGAAGGGACGCTATGAAGTGGGAACCTGAACGCCTGGCAAGGGTGCTGGACCGTATATGGTCCCACCGCAACACTATTGTTCCATTTGGTCGTTAGTATCCTTACTCACTTGCTTTGTCCGAAGTGCGGAGTAGGATGGTGCTTATAGGCGACCAGCCCTTAAGCTCTCGGCTTGTATTGGGCGATTTGCAGGTACGGGGAATGCACTTATAATCCGTTACGATCTTGAAGTTGTCTGTTCGACCCCGACAAACCATGAGAGTTGGGTATCGGGTTAGACGACTGTCATTGCACGAAAATCACGTCAAAATGCAGCCATTATAGTCTGGGAAGACTCTATGCCTGTAAAACCTAAAGTCGGCTAGGCGCATGTGTGTGCGTGTGTGTGGTGTTGCTACAGTGGCCTCCAGACTGACGAAGAGTAGAGCCAGCGGACCAGCTGGACGCACACTGCACTTGAAACGAACGTATGACAAAGTAGTCTCCCACCCAAATGAGACAGCGCAAGTCATCTAGACAGCCAAAAGCGCAACCAAAGGGAAGGCCAGAGGCCCGTTCCAACCGTACAAGTTCATTCCTCCAGCCAAAAATGGACTGTCCATGCCAAAGCCGCTAGAATCTTACAGGAGACATATATGTTACCCATATCATAGTACTTTACTGCCATGGATACTGTTAGGAAGCTCACGCCCGAAAGTCAACGAGGAATCGGACTGTTTCTGACCGGACCAAACGCTGCAAAACATTCGGAACCGAAGCTCCCAAAGCATTGAAGGCCATTAAAGCAGATACTAAATTTCACTGAAGCCATTAGCGACGTTAATGAAGACGGTGTAGGGGTCGTAGGCAATGTGGACGCAATGCTGCAGCCAGCCGACGACAATGACGCCACTCCGGTTGTCAACAGCGAGCGGGCCAAACATCAATGTTCCTCATATGGATACAATCGCGATGGGCCAGGAAACAGGTTGCGTTTGGTGGTTCCGGTTCATTGCTGCTATGCATCATTACTTCTGCAACCTGGAAAGTCGTGTAGTGTTATCTTTCAACGTGATGCAAGACGAACGAATGTGAACGAACTCTATTCGATCAGCGCTTGAGAGATTGGTGTGCGCGTGTTGCGACATTCCCAAACCCGGCGATTGCACGAACTAAACTGTAACTCATCGGGGGGGGTCTGGGGGGCCGGAGGGACCCCCAGCGCCTTACAGATTCGGAATACCTTTATTCCCGCGACTAAAAACCTATTCCTCCGTTCGGACTGGAAAATTAACCGGCAGAAATGAAAAAAAAACACTGCTCATGATGTGATGATTATCCGTCACGATGCGATTGTTTGCTTCTATCTCTGATATCCGTTGTCTGATAGTGTTTAATTTCGACTTGCACATACATGCCTTTCCTGTCGAACCCACATAGACACACACACACAGACAGACAGTCACAGATCGATAAGCACACAGATAGATCTGTACACCCTTGTACGCCCTTGTCTTGTCCACATGCACGCTTCCACCACGCGATGGACTTATTCATTCCCTTGCCGCAGTGCGACTTGATCGCCTTGATCTGTGTGCGTACGCTTTTCTATTTGTTATTAATCGCTGCTGCTTTTATTGATTTCCCCTTTACGTTGGTTCCCTTTTGGTGCGCATCAGTGGCGGTAGAAGCGGGTTGTTTTAGTTAGGTACGGCAACCGATGATTGGGATGCATGGACGTCTGTAAATGGTTTAGGGACCGCCGTCCGTACTGTACGACTACGGACCTAAACCTCACATTCCAGGGCAGGATCTATCTAGAGACGGTAAAACATTTTGGCGGCTCTACAGACGGCTTTTGCAAGATAGAAGACAGCCGGCACGCGCATGATGGCCACCGCGGGCCGCACTGCAGCTGCCTGACAAGTGGATTCCGGGTAGTGATTAACTGATCATCCGGGGGGGGCGTATTCTGCGGGGGGTAATCCGGTCGCATTTGGGTTTTTATTCACTGTGTTGTTTGCTGTGATTCCGACCTGCAGGTCGGCAGCTGCTCCCTGCCCTGCATTGCACTTCACTGCACGTTGACCGTTGCACGTGCAAGAAGGCGTTGGCAGCGGACGCACGTGCGTCCGTGCACGGACTGTAACTTTCGGGTGCATAGGTTCCATCGTGGAATCTCCGTCATAAATAGTTTGGCTCGTAGCCGTAAACGCGCCTGCAGCTGCTGGGCACTGGATGGCTCCGCGATGGCCCGCGTTCGCTTTCTGGTTTAAGCCTTCTGGCTTAAGAGGGCCTTAAGCATGCACGATTGGTTGCTTACAGATCCATTTTGATGTTTCGAAGCACGGCAGATACGTTGAACGCCAAATCGACGAAGACCGATATGCTCCAACATACATGCGTAACTACAGCTGTCGAAGCGGAGCGACAATAACGCGACATTTAATGACGAGCATCTTTTGAACTAAGAATATCAAACTAAAGGGACAGCGTGTAATTTACCTGCACGGTTAGGCTGCCTTGCTGGTGGTGTACGACTAAGCTGTGATTTCAACTGCCGCACATTCGGCAGTAATGGAGAATAAAGATGGCACAAGCTAAAGCTAAATCTTCCATGACCTTTCTCATCAATCCTGATGATTTCCTCGCCTTTCCGAGGACAGACTGGACAGGGCCACATCTGTGCCGTTTTCAGAGAGAGTGGTGCTGAACCATCGACCGAACATCGACGATAGGTGCTCGCAGCATTCTTAGCATGTCAACGAGCTGCCAGACGGCTGTCAGGCTTATAGCTGCCCTTGTGATGATTGTGTTTTCCCGCGGTCAGTCGGGGGTGTGCGCGGTCAGCCTGAGCCGCAAGCTCAAAGCGGCATCAGAGTTATTAACTCCTGCGCGTAACAGCTTTCAACAAGCCGAAGTATATTTGGATGGCTTGTTTGCCGACTACGAGGCCGCAAAGGCGAGGCTTGGGGCCACCAACTTTAAGAAAAGCAACGTCCTCGTCGTCTACATGTTCTACGAACGTGCTGAGGTCATCAGATCAACTTTGACCTCACTTTTGATGAGCCAGGGTCTGGAGAATTTCGATTTGATGATGTCTCAAGATGGTCTTGGTGTCGCTGGGACCCCGTATGTCCTGGACGTTGAGATTCAAGAATCATTCAATGCATTATACATTCATCATGAATTTAACCTTTGCACGGGCCTTCACCACTACTTCGTTAAGAAGTTTGGCTTTGACGTCATGGGCTATGATTACCTCTTGGTCGTTGAGGAGGACAATCTGCTGCATTACCAAGCGCTGAAGGTATGTTTTTTTGCGTTGTCCTGGAGGGGATCTATGGCGTCCTTTGTGCATATAGGCATCTGGTATGCACAACCCGATGCATTAGTAATAAGGGGTGACGTAGCTATCTGCGTAGCATTGCATAAATAAAAAAAGGGCTCATGGCTGCACTTAAATTTTACACTTTTGCTGTAATTTCTTAATCATTTCTTACTTTTAGCTATGCTGTGCTGCTGCATGAAGCAGCACATCACACGTTTCAGTGTCCCTGTACCCATTAACGCACTGGCGGGACATTGCGCTTCTGTCGGGCATCGCAGCTCCTTAAGGACGCGTTGGATTTGTCACTGGAGGATAAGGAGATTGGGCTTGTCAGCATCACTGATATGGACAACAGCCTTCTCGTGGACGATGCGCGGTACAACGCGGCGGTCTTGCGCGCCGACGTGGATGCTGGACACCTGTGGATCTTCGGCATCCACAGGTCGCGCTATAATGCCGTCAGCCAGCTCCTAACCGACTACTTCAACACCATCAAGGGGCACGACTACAAGAACGCGCACGTGCCGCCCCTTCGGGACTCAATCCGCGCGTTACACGCCAAGGAGGGCTTCCCTAAGGACATGCCGCTATCCCAAGACTCTTTCCTCGTGCACAGCCTCTTTAAGCAGGGATACACCAAGCGGTTCGTGTCCATGGTCCGCCTGGCCCTGCCCATGGGCTGGCTGGGTTTGCACATCAAGCAGGATAAGGACCACTTTTACACAACGTACGGTCAGGGCATGTTCGAAGGCGTTATAGTTGAGGAGCCTTTTGCTATTGCCAAGAATCCATATCAACTGGCGAGTCTAAAAGCGGATGCTGCGAAGCGCCTGGACGTGATTTATCGGCAGTACCTGGGCCGCGGTGTCGAGCCAGCGGTTTCAGAGAGCGTTGTCTTGCGGCTGGTGCTGGGCAGGATGAATGCTGTCGAGCTGGTTCGTGATATCGTGAACTCGGCGGAGCATCGTCGCCGCATGAAGGAGGCCGTGGCGAAGCGTCAGGTGTTGCCGCGTAGCAAGGGATGATCATCAAACAATAGGACTTCCGCACCAGGTGCCGGCGCACTGAATTCGGTTAACTAACTAGCTAGCCACTAACCAACGTTTGAAGTAAGATGGATATTTTATTGGTATTATCGATATGTCCCTAATAAGGACATACGGTGAACTGCTGCTGGTTGCGGTGCAGGTTGCATCCATATAATTGGCGGGCTGGCTTCAGATTAATTCGTATTTATATAGGTAATTAGATAGAATGGTAGCCCAAAGTGGATTGTGCGTTCATGCGGACAGATAGAGCTGCTGCTGCCCCGCCACGAGTGCAAGGCTGGATGGATATGGCTTGAGTACATAAGTACGTACATACATGTGGAGCGAGTTGGCTCTCGGGTCCGGAAATCACAACGATATGATTGATAAAGAAGTAGCGACGAGAATCTTCTTCGAGTGAGCTCCTATTATTACTCGTGCGTTTTCCGAGCGAACAGTTGCGGAACATTAAAGGATGCTAGCCCTAATTATGTGACATTCCGGTTAGCTATGCAGTATAGCTGTGAGTAGAGATATTGCCCTTGGGCCTTCGGCTCGTATGGGTAGTTTTACAGGTATCCGAGACCCATCGGGTAGAGCGCAGTGGAGAACTAACAAAACACGGTGTTTTGTTAGTTGGGCGTAAGGCCCAGTGCGAAACGCATTATAGGACCAAAGTTCTGAGCATTCCTAATTATTAATAACTTCCGATGTGCGCATACGTATGCCCCATGGTACACCATGGCGCCTAGGAGAGCAGGATGTCGTGGCGGATGACGTGGTGCCATCCGAGAGCAGCAGCAGCGAGGACTGCGAAAGCAGTGGTGACGAGGGGGCAGGGGAGGAGGTTGCGCAGCTGACAGGCGCCCGCGCTGTCAACAAGCGAGCGGCAAACCAAGAAGCCAGCCCGCTACCTCTGAGAGGCGCATGTAATGTTTTGCACATCTTACGTTTCTGTACATATTTATTGACTTCTGCACATAATTGCACTGGTGATTTCGCGACCAGAGCGTTTGTGGGGGAATGCATGTGTTAACGACGGTGGTCGTGTTGTTCTTTTTTATGCGCGCGAGGCGGAGCTTTGCTCGTTCGTCAACGACGCTGAGCAAACGGACTACCCTGCGGATGGTCCCCGGGTAGCGATATGCATGCAAGCGGATGGTCCCCGGAACACCACCAAATCTGTATCGCAGCTGCAATTACTATTTGTCGTGGTCGTTTCCAAAACTGCATGACACCAAAAAACATTCCAGGTACCATTTTCCTGCCCTGCCAGGGAAACTGTGTCGCAAAGTGTGTGGCAACGGACGCATGCATTGCGCTGAACAGCGCGCCAAAAAGCCATATTCGACACACAGTGGGGGTCAGCAGTATGCTTGCCGAACACTGCTGGTAGTGGCACTACTGCCTTACCGAACGCAAGGAATGCCGCGCAATCCAGGTTAGAAGGTGGCGAAAGCAATATTATTAGCGCTTTTCCCACCCGTGACTGCTGCCGCTCTCTCCATTAAGGCTGCCACCGCCGGCAGCGGCACGATCGGGCCACACACACACCGACACCAATCGCGCCGACCATGGTTCCTCTCGTTCCTGGTTTCGAAGCCGCTTTGAGGTCCTCAGCAGTCGGCGGAGAATTCCCCGGAGGACAGTACAAGGTCGCGCTCAGCTTTTCCAGCTTTCACAATCGGCCGTGTCACGAGAATCAGCTCTCCAACACTGCAACAGAGGCAGCAGATATGGAGGACGAAGGAAACCTGATCTTCGCGAGGGAACATCAGGCGCACCAGCATTGCATTGTGCGGACTTCAACCTTGGTTGGCAGTGGACATCAAACAGCAAATAAACTTTATGCCACACACGTATATAATTATATAAGGTTGGCAGTCTTGTTGATGTATGACATACACCACATGCGAGTATAAGATGCACCGGGCTGGCATAATAGTACCAAAATAGCACTGGAGACATTCATCCGTTTCAAACAGACAGAAGGACATCATCCGAGGACATCATACTTCCAGTCTCGTACATTATTTCCCCCTCCCCAGCCATGCATGTGCCCTCTCCCAAAGTAAACCACGTCCCATGCAAGCACACACACGCACCCCCAGCACACAAATCGTATTGATTCCGCATGCCTAAGCCTGTAGACAAGCTTCATCCACTACCTCAGGAAAGAACCCTAGAAATGTGACTGACTGAAAGAGTTTTACTGCGGAAAAGAAGCCCAGTACGGATATGAATGTACGGATATGAAGCAGTACGTATTAGTTCCCTGTGGACCCTGCTGGACCAACCAATGCCCCCGCGTCTCGCGCGCCCACACACATGCACATGCACACACACGTGCACATGCACACACACACACACACACACACACACACACATATATATACATACACGCCAGTCCCAAGGAAACCCCCTCACCCCGACTCCGAGCCCGACCTCCTCCCGCCACTTCATCAAAGGCATATGCCCTCATCAGTCCCAGTAGGTAGGTAAGGTAGGTAAGGTAGGTTAAGTAGGTAAGTAGGTAAGTAGTATGTAAGGTATAAGAACCGTGTCGGCATGGCGCACCCTCCTGTCGGCACCCGCCACTTCCTCCTCCTCCTCCTCCTCCTCCTCCCGTACACTGCAACCCCAACTTCAGGACAGTCCCACTGCGCACTGTGCAGAGAGGAAATCCATGGTGATGCTGCACACACATACATACGCGCACACATACGTAATACGTACATACCCCCCAGGTTTCCTAGGTTCAACTTCAGCCCAAAAGCTGGTGTCGGGGGAGGTTTATGAGACAGTGAGCCCTTCGGACCACTGTATAACAGAATTCATTTACACTAAAACACATTTCCCTCTCGTCCTCGACGACAGACATGCATACACCAATACGCAATATACACATATGTAAAAGAACGCACACACATACACACACAATCTTACGCATGGCTCCTCCGTGTTTAAAAAGCGTACGAACACGCGAAGGCAGGTCAGCACACACCAGTCGTGTACAGCAGGGACAGCAGCAGCAACCCCACACAGCGGGGTGCTGTGCCTGCCGTTCCTAAAAGCCACAAACGAGCAGTCACCAAACAGGTATTCTTCAACGCAAACATTCCAACTTTTTGGGAAATATCTTGGCACCAAGACAGGACAGCAGGCCTGTTTTGGCCTCATACCCATCATGAAAAACCCCAACCCTCGGACAGTGTTTTGAAAGACTGCTGCACTCAAAACCTTTGTTTACGGTCAAGGCATTATTTCTAATGCTAATGCCCCGCTAATTAGCTTGAGTCCAAATAGCTTGCATCATATGGATGAAGATCACCGTGGAATTATTTTGCTCAATTTGCTGCTTGTTGTTGAACGCCGCCTGCGGGTGACATGAGCGTCACTTCGAGGGCGCAGTCGATGTCACCAGTACGAATCCCCATCCCGACATTACGAAAGCTCTGCCACCGTCGTAGTGCCCTGCCTAAAAGCTCCCACTATATGACCTGATGCCCCAGTCATGCTGCCAGCAGCTGGCGGTTAGGAGACCTAAGCCTTTCTTGAAGGGCGGGTCCTCTTTTGTTTAAAAGCGCAAAAAGTGCAAGAAAAAACGATTGGCAGGGAGTCCTGCTGCGGTTGCTGTTGCTCTGCCTCTTCAATGCACCTGCTCCTAGTTCGGCACTGCGACTGAGCGGCATCTGCCATTCACGCTGCTAGTGTTGCTTTGCTGCTGTTGCTGCTGCGGTTGTTGCTGATGATGCTGCTGCTCCTGCTCCTGCTGCTGCTGCGATTGCTCCTGCTCCTGCTGCTGGTCCTGCTCACCTGCTACTGCTCCCCGCAGCCTGCCGCTGCTACCACCATACCCAAAGCCCGGCAGGTGCATTCCGAGACTTGACGCACGCCGCTCCTCGGCGCTCACCTGGCCGCCTGACCCAGGCTTGCCCCTGCCGCCGGCACCTTCAATATACTACCCTACCAGGCTCGCTGTCCTCCTAAAACCAGGGCAAGCTCTCGCGGCACTTGCGGAACTGCGCACCCACTACGGGCTCGTAGCGCCCAGCCGCCATCGCCCCCAGCGCCTCGTCACTCGTGACCAGAGAATGGGCCTTATGCAGCATGAACTTGGTGGTGTTGATGCCCCGGTAAAATACCACCTGCCGCATAGACCAGGGCCGAGGGAGGAGCCGAATGGGCAGGAGGGGGGGAAAGAGAATCACGAACGAGTGGAGCTGCTGCCAAGGAAAGAGTGTACAAGAGAGGGGGAAAAGCAGGAGAGAGCAAATTGGCAGGTGGACAAATGCGGCAGCGACGGGGGTTGTTACAAAACCGTGTTCTAGCCCCAGAAACCCGACACGACGCGTCGGGGACGCGTGCTATCAGTAAGCCAATCGGAGTCCGTTACGTCCGTTACGGTTACAGTTACGGTTGGGAACTGGGGAATGAGGAATGAAGAAGATGGCGGGGGCCGTAACGGGGGAAGGCATCGCCGTTAGGGGAGCGGGCGCGGGCGTTTTAAGAGAGACACAAACACCCGGGACAAAAGGGGAGGGGGGGAAAGGTTGGAACGAGGCAAAATAGTCCATATGAAATACACACCGGGGGACGTAGGCGATCTGGGATAGGAAGCCGATGCGAGTGGCGAAGAGTAAAAGAGTAAGAAAAAAACACAACTGGTTCCATTATTATATCACGTAATACCGCCAAGACAAACCCAGCAACGCCAGAGAGCCAGCAGTCTAACAACGATGGATTGCCGTACAGTCATGCAGAGAGAGACATGCAGTGGAATATATGAGGTCACCACGCAAAAAAGGTCATCATGCGAACAAGGCACACACAACCAGAAGCCCGCTAACGACGTTTCTTCCCCCGTCCCCCAGCCCTTCCCTTCCCCGCTCCCCCACCCCAAGGCCCCGTTGCAGCGCCCCTAGTCGCCATCTCCCCCAGCCGCATCGGCATTAACAGCACAACTGGACACGCCAGCCTGGAAGCCATACGCGAACATGCAGGGTGGTGCCGGAGCCGTCCGCGGGGGCCCTCAGAAAACAACCAGGAGGCGGCGGCGGCGGCAGGGGAGGAGGAGGAGGAGGCCGGGGCCCTCAGCCTCGCGCACCTTATGCAGCGCTTGAACCCGAAGCCACTGTGCACATACATACATACATACATAATCATGGATGGCATCATTCGACTTGGCATACTGCGAGAGCGTTTGGGTTGTGCGGAGGGCACCGGTAGGCGGCCTGTTCAAATCCCCGCTGTAACATCACATCAGTCGTACCATGTACGTCATATTATCACACGACAGGAATAGTACTGTACTACGTGATTATGGCATTACCACGGCATCTGCGGGCGATCAACGGCTTGCAAAATCGAACTATGCAAGCCAGAACACACACGCTCAGAGCCAACACCACTGCAAACTCCACATCACCCGACGTACAGTGCGGCGACACGAGTGAAACCCTAACTGACCTAAACACACCTTCACGCACACACAAGCATCACATCACCTTACAACAAATGATTGCCACACGTTGACACGTGAAAAATCACTCACCGACACCCTTTTATGCGGAAACGTGTACTCGTCCATATACGGCACGCAAAAAACGCATTTTCATGTAAACGACACATATTCATACGTCGTACCCTTCAGGCACATTACATGTGCTCTACAACGTTTGTTTGTAAACACCCCAAATTGCAAAGCATCCGTACCTGCTGCAGCGCCTGGATCCTTTTCCCCGCCGCTAAGGGTCCCCCCTGCAAGCGACCCACGGCGATGGAAGCCGCAGCGGAGAGCTGGTGTGGCTGGTGTACCAGCCAGGCGTCAGGCAAAGCAGCAAAGCTCGTGTTGATGTAGGCCAGAGAGGCCACTTGCGTCACCTTGTCGCGAAAACAGCCCCGAAACCGAACGTCGTACGGCATCCACGTGTACTGCTTCCTGCGATGTGTCCATTCCGTGTGATCAAGTTAAAAAACACTTTTTTCCGTTAATTAAAAAAAGGTTTACTCTAGGATAGCAGAAACTACTAGAAGCTGCTTCCTAAACATAAAGCTTTATCCAAGTACGGAGACGAGTGAGGGTCCCCGTCAAGGATTGCCCGGATTGGCGGATGGGCCTGCTGGCGGTTCCGAGTCCGCTCAGTCCAGCTCAGACCCCGACGCCACAACCCCAAACTGTTGGGATTTTTCATGCCCTTTTTTTTGCACAAGGCCTTCCCCCGGTGCGCACTCTTAAGAGGCACATGCGCTACAGCAGCAGTATCTGATAGTTCTCTCGTATTGCTGTTGTTGTTGTTGTTGGTGTTGTTGGTGTTGGTTGTGACGGCGGTGGTGGTTCCCTTAGCAGCTGCGACTGCACCCGCCCTGCACCCCACCTGGAGGTGATACCCCACGGCTCGTAACCACGTCCGTAGCGTATGGTGTACGGCTGGTCGGTGCTCAGCCACCTACATGCATCAATCACATCCCAAACAGCATCCACAAAAATATAAAAAAAATCCAAATCCAAGAAAGGATATGGAATGTGCACAAGGAACCTCTTGTAACATTATCCCTTCTTTTTTCCAGCCTCTCAGATCAATCCCGGGCATAAAAGGAAACGACCGACAAAACGGCAAACTGTCAACATGCTCGTTCACACCGTATAATGCGCAACAAAGCTCCCATCCTCGACTCAAATAACAACCAACTATCAAATAACTATCAACCGATTCGCAACCGCTATACTGGGTCAGACTTATGACCTGTCAAAACTGACACGCCGGCACATCTCGACAACCTGATTAGCCTTACATCAAACACAACACCATCATCGATCCCCATCACCACGAAACGAGCCACCCAGCGAGGCAAAGCAACTCGTCAATTTCCTACCCAGACAGGTCCCCGCTTCGAACCCTGCACCTGTCAGTTATAGCATTACGATACGTACCGTCGATAATCTGTTGCGTTGTGACCCTGAGGAAAGATGTCTTCTGAAAACGTACGTAGGTGCCGGGTCTGCCACAACATCTGCAGCCGCTTCTTGTCACCTGGCAGTTCCGGTGCCCATGTCCAAGTCACCGAAGGCCATGACGATAATGTGTCAATGCTGATGCTGATGATACCGTTAAATGATAATGATGATGATGATGATGATGATGATGATAATGATGATGATAATGATGCAAGGAAAGCCAAGGTTAAACTGCCGTGTGGCTTGTAAAGCCAAAATTGTGGAGGACCGGGAAAACAGACATTTGTGCGAGCTACTACTATCACGACGGTATCCAACACCGCGACAAAGAGGACGCTGATGAGGGGATTGCAGGGGGCCAGGGGTTGAGGCATGAGGGGCGAGATGGAATCGGGTCTGTGGACGAGATGCCGTACAGCCGTACGTATATACCTGGCGTGTTATACCGGTTACCCTTAGCCAGGCGTGAGCAAGCGGGGTCTTGCAACAAGCAGCGGGGACGGGGGGAGAGGGGAAATCAGCGCGGTTGGGCGCCATGACCCCAATCCGCATCCATCCGCGCCCTTGCCAGTCAACTTCACATCAGATGGATCAGGATCGATTGACCGGTCGACCGACAGACAAAAAAAACTGAAAGACATACGGACTCACGCACCTTTAATCGCCGACAGCACAGTGTTCTGCGCATCCTCCGGTTTCAAGTGGCTCTCTGCCTCCCAGGTGGGTAGTACCCAGAACACGGTCGATGCGTGCTGTATTGCTTCTAGCCTATAAGAGGGATAGCGAAGGGCAGGGCAGGAGGGTCGATGCCTGCTGTATTGCTTCAAGCCTATAAAAGGGATAGCGAAGGGCAGGGCAGGAGGGTCGATGCCTGCTGTATTGCTTCAAGCCTATAAAAGGGATAGCGAAGGGCAGGGCAGGAGGGTCGATGCCTGCTGTATTGCTTCAAGCCTATAAAAAGGGATAGCAAAGGGCAGGGCAGGAGCGAGCGCTCGGATCACCAGCCTTAAAGAGGACTTAACTGCAACACAAATTGCAGCTCACCTGTCAGGCTGCGCGAGGACGCGCCGAAGCGAGTCGCTCACGGCCAGGTCCACGTCAATCATGGCAGCCAGCGGGGTTCGAATCGCAAGCAGAGCGGCGTTTCGGAGGGCGTTTATAGGTACCAGAGCACCCAGCGCCCGGTCCGCAGTATACTCCGTCAGCAATAGCAGACGAAGACTGCACGCGTCGGGCAGGGCCTCTATACGTTCAAATAGCTCCTACACGTCGGATCAGAGCAATGGTGCTTTAGAGTGACGCGTCGTTGGGTGGCGCAGAGGAAGGGGTGATCTGGGTTTCGTAAGGTCAGGCACAGAGCCGTACTTCGTGTCGTACTGCAAGGACATGCCGTGTAGGGAAGCCAAAGCGTTCGATGGGCAAGCGCCGCTAGCAATCCCTTAGTTTTTACTGGCCCTTCTCTTACCTGCAGCTTAGATTGCGTCTCTTGAATCACTTCCGCGTTGCGCTGAAAGAGGAAGGTGCCCTGGGCCTGCACCAGTGGTAAGTATACCGCTGCAGAAACCGAGCTTCCAGGAAGCATTCGACACTGCGCGCGGGATAGGAACAGGTATGCCTCACATAGGTGGCGCCTTGGAATGGTCACAGAGCAAAGAAGAAGGAATTCCCTTACGAGGGACTCCAGGTGGTGTAAGCGGTCCATGGTGGCCGTACTGAAGACCGTCAGAGGAAACTTCAAGCTCCTCGAAGAACTCCATACGTGAGATATGTTGAGGCTGAGGTCCAATAGGGAAAGTCTTAACGTTTGGCTGTCGCAACAAAACTAAATGTGCCAAGCAGCCATTCACCTGACGGGCATGCTGGACATGAATGACCCAAACGTTGAGGGAGTTGCATTATACAACGAATTATAGCATCGCTGTACCAGCTGGACATCATTCAACTGGCCCCCTGCTTGAGATATTGCTGTAGCTGTGGTGAGGCAGAAAATCAAAGCCAATATCTTACCTAACTTGCATGTATTAACTTTTCTTTTACGTGATCTGTAGGATATGTGGGATTTGTGCATTGATTAGTAAAAGGAAAGCGCTGCTAGCGAGTTGTTTTCGCAAGAGTCTGTGCTCTATAGTGGAAGGGTAGCAGATTTCACTTTACAAGTACGTGGCTTTAGATAGCGACAAAGTTGCAGAGAGCAGTCTCCGATAAATCAAAAACCAGGATGCCGTACACAGAAGACGGTTATAAAGCCGTCGCGATGCTGCTTGCGGCAAACACCGGGGTCCTGGTGAAGCAGCTGGCCGCGTAAGAAAAGTATATGGATGTGGAAGGTGCCGAAGTACGTCGGTGAAACATAATGTGGCAGGACTGGAGAGAACAGTGCAGCAGTATATTGTGAGTGTAGTTGAAGCGTTATAAGGCGTTCGGCGCACGGGCGAATTTACGTGCATACCTTTCATCGTGGGCGCGTCACGTTGCAAGCTAAGCAACGCGTATACATGACGTGTCACATCAGTCCCCAGTTCACTTCTTGTAACGAACATCAGCATAGGTACAAGCCCTCTCGCTTGGAGGGATATGCAAGCAAACATCATGATAGGTAAACTCGCACGCTACCGAGCATTCAACCGAGCACGCTACGAGCAGTCCTTGTAAGGAGCAGCATACCACCCGACACGTATGCACACGTGCGCAAAAATTCTGTGTGTTGTTCTTACAGCGCTATGTAAAAATGTATATACGTTTACGCGACGCGAGAAGTAAACGTACATGTACTCGTGGTGGAAATCTTGTGGGGATGTCATACAATCAAAAAAAGCTTAGCCGCCTAGCCTGGCGCGCCGTCTGCTTATTTCGGTATATAATAACGTCAGCTTTGTCTGCTGTACACATCATCTAGTCGTCTGTTCATCATCATCATCATCAGGCAATTCAGAGTGATGCGGGTATGGACCGTCGTCGTAAGGAGGGGGGATAGTGGATGGGTTTCCGACGCAGGAAGAGTGGCACCTTGCATGCCGGCGAAAAAAACGGCAACTCTAGTAGCTGGCCGCTGAAAAGGCCTCTCGAGATGCTGGTGGTCGCGCTACGCGCGTATTTGTAGAGCCGTACCACCTACTACTACAGCAACTAAGGAAAATCCCACACGCCGCTGTCTGTGGACGCTGCATGATCGAAGCCAAATAGGATATAGGATAGGAATTTTGTTACAATAGGGTGAAAGTTACAACAGCTTTAGGAGGACAATCCTTACGCACTTAAAACGTCCGCACTCCCTTTCGGATGATCCTCCGTGCATTGAAGTACTTTCCGAAGTCGTCCGGTGTGGGAAAAGCATTAGGCGCAAAAGCATGACACATCTAGGACGGTGCTTATATAGGCGATCTGGCAGCCCTTGAGCCCTCGGCTCGTATTAGAGCGTGTTGCAGGTACGGGGAACGCACCCCACGACCATGTAACATACATACACGCACATCTCGAAACACATTTATGCACCTTTTGAAATACGATCATCTTCACCTCCCTACCCCGAACGAATCATAAGTCGATACGTATGTACACCATGCCCATACGTGTGTACTTCGCATTGAGGTCGTACACATTACTATCGCTTTGTACTTCGCTGTATGCGATATCAGATAATCACGTACACACAAATATTTACTTCTTCCGCAGATAAGCAGCGGATTCAGGGACTCGGCACATAAAGGGTAGAGTACCAAATACTTGTTGGCTTGGCTCGCATAATTGGTAGGTACAGCAGTACACCGTACGGACATGCATGGAAACATGGTCCTCATGGTCCGAACATCGAACCAAACATTTACTGCATTCAAAAAAGAATTTGCACTTTTGTGATGCTGATGATAAACTTCCCTCTCCATCGGCGGCCTTCTGCAAACCCTAAGTTCCTGAAATGGAGAAAGGACCATTTCGGATTCCGCCCTCCGGTAATGCGCGGGCGTCAAAACCGGCGCAAGACGCCAGATGATGCAACAGATCAATACGCTATATGCCGTACGGCCGAACTCATGCAACACGCAGGAACTGCCGCGCGCGGTTCCAGGCCAGCGCCCCCCCAAAACAAAAAGGCGGGAAGCCAGTCAGTGCCCCTTGATCCATTGTAATTAGCACACGTACGCCGCTCACAATAACAATAACGGCGATGCGCCGCCGGGGAGAGTCCTCCCCCCGAGTCAAGCAGGCGGAGACATACACCCGTGCGCGCGCGTGGCTCGGATTTCTAAGTGCGTGTGTGTGTGGAGGATACAAATGCGTGTGTGTGGAGGATACAAAATACGACAGGCGCAGAATTACACATAACACACACTAAAGGCGAATTTGCTCGTTCGCCAACCGCCAACTTTCATCACAATCTTCACTTAGGGGCCATTGCATTGAAAAAAACAAAAACACACATCCAGGTCATGGCAAAACAGTGGAATTGGGCTAGGGTGCGATCCTCAAAGGTTGTGTCCTGTAAAGCCGGGGTTTCGAACCAGGGTCGGAATCGGAGCGGCGTCCGATGTGTAATAATCAGACCCGCGACCACTAGCGAGAGGCCGCCTTCGAGCTGAAATGATTGAAAAACGGCTCGGGCCGCTGTAAAAGGGCAGCAGCCATAGTGAACTGGATAAAACTAAAACCCAGCCAGCCTTCAGTCGTGCTTTTAAGCAGCTTGTATGATACATCTGCCGTACATGAATGAACTTGTCGTACGGTGGACCCAAATATTCTAGGTGGCAGCTTGAGCTGGACGCGAAGGATGCATGTGCGTGTCGTTGCAGCACTACATCCTGTCGGACGTGCCAAGGCATGTGAAATACGACATGTACGATACAGACACATGCAGACATTCCAGCGCTGGCTATATCTGTGTGGATGCACTTGGGCAACGGATGCCCAAGGTCGGTACGGGATGACAGTCTCTCTCACCCCTACGGTATCTAGCGCTGGCCGCACAATGAACTAAATGCATGCACCCCTTCGTCACCCAACCCATCCATTTCCCAACCCGTGTTTCGGGTACACACACACAAAAAAAAACACAGAACCACACAATCACACTCACAAACACACACGCGGCTATCCGATCTATTTCCGAATCATGTCACGCCATTTAGTACCCATAGTAGTAGTAGTAGTCACGCAATCTATGGACAGCCGCTCCCTGGACCACTGGCCACGGGTTTGCCCATCCCCCTCTCCCTCGCTCTTCCTCTCCCTCTCTGTCTCTCTCCCTCTCGAAGTGGCAGTCTTCCTTCAAGCACAAGCTTCACATGCCCATGCAAATGCGCGACAGCACAAAAGTACGACACGCCATAATGATACGACGTTCCTTTCCGTTCGTACGGCTATAACTTCCGCTCTCCACATCTTCAGATTAGCACGTAACCGAGTTCAAAAATGATCTATTTGAATCTTTAAATTTTTGATCCGATTCACATACATGCATACATGCACCTTCGCGCCTTCCTTGTTTTGGAGGTTTTGATTTAATAAAAATCCTTCTGATTGAGTTTGTCAGCAGAAAAGTCCAACCTGGTCAACCATCAAAGGCGGAGCGAGTGGGCGAATGGGAAGCCCCAGCATTCCGAATACATGCACTATCCCCCCGGGGTCCCCGAAACCCCATTCTCATCCTCATCTCGCCCTCCCCCTCCCCCAACCAATACGTCGCAAGCCCCATGTTCCACACCTCCACACTTCCACCATCACCATCTTCATGATCCCACCCCTAAGACCTTTCGGAAGGAGCAGGGCGCACATCCCTCCCTATCTCCTCCCCCCCCCCGACACACGCACCTCTGCACGCAAGTTCGCGTCTTAACGACCCGGTATGCCCCAGGTACATGAAACCCGTTCGGTCACCCCCCCAGGGGTTGACTCCTTTTTCATCATCAATAATTTAACACATATAAGCGATGATGTAATGATGATGATGCCGCAGATCAGCCAAATCGATCCCGGGCGATAAACCCATCGTACACCTTTCTCCAGGGGGGTTGTTACGTATGTATGTATGTATGTATGTATGTATGTCCGTAAGCGGCCCGTACGGACCGTGCTATTTCATGGATGGATTTTATGTTTTTGAGATTGATTTTAAACTCTTTTTATGGACATATACCCGCATTTGTATACATGCGTGCATGCATGCAGCCAACCAACTCGGAATTGCGTTCAAAATAAGGGGAGGGTTCACTATTCTGCTGCTAATTCCAATCTGCAACGCGCGTGCGCGCCAAAAAATCCTTCCCCCCCAAAAAAGCCTACAATTCAAATTGGGCGCGAAGGTCATAGAGTAGCGCCATTCTCCTCATCGGAACGACTACCCTAGCCATATAGATATACGCGCCCCAAGTCATAAGTCCAACTAAAGGACAGCGGATAGTTTGGGGCTCCATCCGCCGTCAGAGGCAGCAAGGTTTTGCTGCTTTCTGGAGTCGGGAACTAACCCGGCTGAAACACACATGTACATACAGACATAGATGCGCACATACATACATACATATATACATACATGGTGATCTGCATACACGCACACACGCACATCTATAAAACGACCCGTACAACTAACCCCAAACGACACATCAAACCGTTGCAACAGTGATCCGCTAGTGGCGGCCCTTAAATCACTTTTGGGCTGTACGATGCGTATAAATGAGTAGTTGCAGCTCTTCACGTGCCCCATCCCACTGTAACCACACATCGCTGGCACACATCCGTCACTTCACCGCGCCAACGGTCACGCCAACGACCATGTTGCCAACTACATAACAACTGACGGCATACCTTTCCCCCCCAATAAAAGAAATCAATCCCAGCCAGCCCAGGAACCTCCCTTTCCTCCTCACTACTTTTCCCCCAATCAATACCACAACCCCGCCATTTTTGATACTTCCCGTCTCAACCAGTAAACAGATTGCAAGTGGGAAGTGCATATACACATAGAATACACGCTTTTATACACATACAAACATACATAAACTATCACATCTACTGTGTTCCTGAAGGAAAATACATACAGACATACAACGCGGTAAAACTTACCACGCAAATCTAAAAAGCAATGGAGTCCATCTACTGCTGTCAGCCCGTCGCAGGAGGATGACGGTGTCGCCGCCCCCAGTAGCCACCTTTCGAGCGAAAAGGCTAGCTACCTTTTGAGCGCAATGCAGCTAGATGCTGTCGTTAGGTTACGACCCTTTCCAGCTAAATTTGCACATTCCTATCCTTGCCGGCTTTCCAGCCTACAGTGAAATCTACGTCATACATGCATACATACATATGCATAGACAGACAAAAGCACCTGCACCACAGTCGCTTGTCATATCCTGCTTGGTACATAAGTAGGTACATACATACATGCGTATGCATACATACATGCCCTGAAATACACTCTTTGCTGGCCTGCTCGCGACATCACAGCCACTAGTGCTAGTACTAGCAAGAATATCTTTTTTCCTGCCAAAATGTACGACATCAGCGGCATAGGCCCCAATGCGAAATCTCTAGCACTGGCAGATTGCACCCCCGCCTTTGAACCGCCCGTACCAACCTCAGTACTTCGTGAGTTTGTTCACCAAATCAGTCTACTGATACATACATACAGGACGTTTTGTCCGCATGTTCTGACATTTTTCCACAGTGCATAGCCGTAAGGCCGTGTCCTAACCCTTCCGTTTCCCCCGCTCCCTCCCACTCCCCGCCTGCCTCTTCCCTCCTCCAACAAACCATTTTTCTTCTTCTTCTTCTTACGCCTTCTTTCTTTCTTTTTCTCTTTCTTACGCTTTGCTTTCCTTTCCTCCCTCCTAACCAATCTATAAAGCAGGGGCGCGAACTATCCCTAAATCCCATCCTTCCCTTCCTCGTCCTCCTTCTTAGTCCGCCACTCGAATCATGCACCTTTAGGCAAAATAACATTCCCTATGGGATACATCTTGCTTTTTCGGATGCCAGGTCTGGGGATCGATCCCTACTGACAACCCCACTTCTCTGATTCTGTTGCGGAACGTAATATTAACTGTGTCAACGGGTTTTTTGGTCAGTGCACTTCCCTGCCGCCGTTGTTGCCGTTATTGGCCACCACCGTTGTTGTTGCTATTGTTGCTGTTCTTACGCGCCTGGTGCTGTCTAACCGCGTGTTTCAGCCAGGGGTGTCGTAACAGCTGTACGGCAGTGGGTCGGTCGCCGGGACGCTCCGCCAGGGCGCAGCTGATGAAGTCCCGGCCCCCCGCCGACACGAAATGCGGAAAACACAGCTCCCGGGGGGAGGGCCGACCACCGCCACCACCACCACCACCACTGCTGCCTCCTGCGGCTCCTCCATGTCCGCTGAAGTCGCCGCTGTTGTAGTTGTTGTTGATGAAGGGCGGGAAGCCCACCAGCATCTCGTACGACAAAACCCCCACGCTCCACACGTCCGCGGCGGTGGAGTAGGCCAGCTCCGGGTCGTCCTTGTTGTCCTGGGGTAGCAGCTTGAGGGGGCAGCGCTCGACCTCGGGCGCCTGAGGGGTGAGAGGAAGTGCAGGGGGAGAAACCAGGGGAAAACACACACACACACATACATACACAGTCAGGCAGGCAGTAGGTGAAGGTAGGCAGCCATGCAGGAAGCAGGTAAAGGTAGGCAGAATGCCGTACATCGCACGTGTGACGTCGCGACCGTAGGAAAACCGGTAAACTGAAAGCATGCAGGCATGGGGCCGGTGTGCGTCACTGTCTTGTCGTATTCGGACCATGAACATGTACGGATACATGTGCTGAAAGAGCATGCAACGACAACAACGGTCCCGTACCCCACCCCGCCGTACCATGTAGTCCACTACATAGACCATCGCCCGGGATAACGCCCGCGGGGGGAAAATAAAATGAAAAAGATGGTGACGCCAGTGATGGGGGGAGAACGGCGAGGAGGAGGAGGAGGAGGAGAAGGAGGAGGAGGAGGAGGAGGAGAGAAATGAAAGGGGCGGGGAAAGGAGGAGACGACGAGACAACAGGTGACGTGAGATCGGGGGGTAGCGAGCCGCAACAGCAGTAGCAGTAGTGTCGTGTAGAATTAGTCGCAGCAGTAGCAGTAGCCGTAGTCGTAGCAGTAGTGTCGTAGCAGCAGCCATACATTTTTCCATTAGACGAACAGAGCAGTAACCACAGCCGTCGCGGTCGTTTGTTGTACACGCCGTACCGTACCGTGAAGAAGTGGGGTGAAAAGGGAGGAAGCAAAATTAGTACTGTGACGGTTGGCGGTTATTAGTTTGGTACGAATGGTGTCAGGAAGCAGCTGCAGAAATCATGATCACCAATAAGGGACTGGATACCCTCGCCAACGTCAAAACACCACAGTACGACACAGTACGACATGCATACGACAAATAAAACATTGGATGATAGGAAGCGGAATAACCAGGGTGTGGAAATTTGGCGCCCAGGGAAATCGCAACCCAAGATCGGTCACTACGGCGGTACAGGGGTAAGGCAACGGCAATGAGCAAAACAGGATTGTGGTTGAACAGACGGCCAGGTCGAGTTCTACAAAACCCTGAGTACTCCCCCCCCTCCCCTCCCCTCCCCCGTCCCCCTCCCCCTTTGGAGAGGGGTATTGTCAACCCCTCCTTCAGCCCCTGCTTCGGGCAAAGCCCACACATACATGTTACATGCCCGTACACATCCGCACACATACATACATACATTCATGCATGAGCACGCATATGCACATACACGCTGTCACGTTTACCCCTCCCCCCTTTCCCCTAGTAATGCGCCTCTCAAGAAATCCTCCGACTTGTAATTTATCAATAAATTAAAACTTTCGTGCAGTAACCGTTTCAAACAGACAGACGGACAGACAGGCAGATATACACACAGGTGTCCTATCACAGCACACGCCACATCACGCCACGCACTTGTTCCCGTACGAGTGACTGCCCGCTCATGCACCAGATTGATGGCGGCTCCGAAGTCCGCCATTCGCAGCTGCCAGTTCGCGGTGAGGAGCAGGTTCTCGGGCTGGGCGGGAGGGGAAGGGGGGAAGAGAGGAGCGGAGGGGGGGAGGGGGGGAATGACGAACCACGAACGAGTGAAGCTGCTGCTGCTGCTGCTGCTGCTGCTGGGAGGGGGGATGTGAGAGGGAGCGGTGGAGGAGAGAGGAGGTGTTCCAATGGCAGGCGGGGAGGTAGGAAGGATAGACCGTTGAATTCGAAGGATAGGCAACAGCAAGCTATACCTGTAAGACCGATATTCTTAAACAACTATCTTGCCGTACACAAGAACACATACCTTGATGTCTCTGTGGCACACACCCTTGCTGTGCAAGTACGACAGGGCATCAAGTAGCGGTGCCAGCACCAGCACCCGCAGCTGGTCCTCATTCATACGGCAGTACGGCAGGCTGCGGTGCAGGCGGAAGAGATCTCCCCGCATCGCCCGCTCCAAAACCAGCACCAGACGATCATCCTCCTGCGGAGAGAAGTCCAGGTCGCAGCAGTAATATTTTAAATCAGATTTCAACGGATTTCCTGTGGCCGCTATCGCTGCAAAGCACCCTGTACCAGAAATAACCGTCACACATACCGCTAAACAACCCCAACAACATCCATCCATTACCAGTCAACCGTCAACTACCAACTTAACAACAGCCAAGTAAAACTGACCTCCAGTGTAATAACCACTTTTAACTCCACAACCCCATAATCCAGAACTAACGGGAAATCGTAATTATGCCGTACCTCGAACACGCCGTACAAGGCCAGGATGTTGTCGTGCTCCAGCTCCGTATGTATGCGTATCTCCCGTACGAGCGTATGTGCGGCATTCTCAGCCACGCGGGGCAGGGAGTACACCTTGAGTACCACTTTATATCCGCTACGTTGGCACACAGCCTTGTGGAGCACAAAGCGGGTACGGCAGAGGTACGACAGAGGTACGACAGGGCCGGGAAGGTTTTGGGGGGCGCAATCCTCGTAACAATATGATATGGCAGAAAGCCAACTTTGAAGAACAAATCCACAGAAGTAGAGCCGGGCGATTCTGACGCACAGGAAAGGAAAACGCTGACGGGGGTAATGATGCAAAAGCAGATAAAGGAAAAAGCAGCCCCGGATGATGGAGTCCCGAGACACGGAAACGGCTCCCCCATCCTTCTTCGTCCCCACCTTCCTCGGAAAAATCACCCTCAGATGTGGTATTTAAAAAATTAAAATAAACTTTAATTTATGGAAACAAAATAAACATAATACGAATTATTAATCAATCCTCTGAAGACGTAAAGTGTTTCCCCTCTCCCCTCTCCTCCATCCGCCCGTTCCAAACCCTGCGCCAGAGAGCCGCAGGTAACCCTGCGTTAGGCGAATATTACTTTTCGCACCTCCCACCACATATACACGGCAAAACCCATCCCCACGCCCCTTCTTGCGCCCGGATCCCCCCCAACACCCCCTAAGACCCCCTCCACAAAACACACCTTGTACACGGACGACACGTCGCCCTTGTACAGCCGGCCCCCGATGACGTAATCCGATAACCGCCACAACGGTCGCCTCATGGACGGGGGGGTACTGGAAGGTACGGCAAGCAAAGTGCTGCTGCTGCTGCCGTTATTGCTGTTGCCTCTATTGTTCGGCTTGTTGTCGACGGTGCTTGTGAGAGTGGAGGATGGGGGAAATTGGGGCATGGACGAGGGCGAGGCAAGAGCTGGGTACGGCAAATCCCTAGGTACGGTTGTCCCTCTCGCAACGGCTGCCTCCGTCGACATCGCTGCCGCCGCCGTCATGCCGCCGTTCGGCGGGGCAATTGACGTATACTTGCCCATGGCGGGAGTGTCGACGGTGGCGGAGCTGGCGTGTACGGCAGCCCTGGTGTTTTGCGCCGCCGCCAGCGCCACCAATTCCGGCGGCGTTCCCAAGGCAACCGCAGTAGCAGCAGCCGCTTCCATGGGAGAGGAACTATTTGTAGCACTGGCACTAGAACTAGTACCGGCAGTTATTGCCGTACCAACGGTCGCATTAGCGCTAGAGCTGCTGGTCGCACTGCTGGTGGCACTCGCATTTGCAGTCATGATTGCCGCTGTCGCCACAACGCTGGTAGGAGAGCACATCGAAGTAGCAGATGCTGGGAAGAAGGGGGAGTCAGCAGCCGGGGTACCCATAACAGCGGTAGCAGCAGTAGTACTAATCGCCGTTGCAGATGCGCGGGGGACGATTATCTTCTCAGCACTGCGGGGAGTACCAAGCCGTATAAATGGAAGCGGCAGAGATGCGGAGCTGCGTTCTGGAACCCTCGGGATGAGTTGCGGTGCTTGCGGTTGGTGGTTTTGATGGTTGTGAAATTTGGGCATCATGTTGTTTGAGGACATGGCATGCCTGACTCGCGACTCGGACCCCACGTCCGGAATGGGCGGCGAAGGTATCTGTTGAGGCAAGCCGTTGACTCCCAGGCGGTCTGTCTTGGCACCGATTAACGGCGACGGTGCGCCGAAGTCAATTGATGGGAACTGGAGCAGCATGGACGAGCTCGAATTTGCCGGTAACACCCTCCGACCAGTGCTGGGCTGCAGCGGTGAAATGCAGTATAGAGGTGACAAATTTGCCGGAGAAACTGTTGAAGGAAAAATTAGAGGCAAGCTTGAGGATGAACGTGGAGGAGCTTTGCAGCCAGACGTGGCTTCGTGGTGCCCCTGGCCATGATACGAAGCATCAGCAGGGCGCGCAGCGAGTAATCCAGAAGAGCCTGAGATTTTCGAGAAGAAGGGCATTTGACTTAATCGGAGTTGCGGCGTGCTGTCCACAGCACGCTGCGGTCGCCGGAGCAGCCGTTTCAGAGATGTCATGAAGCCCTTCTCTCGTTTTTTGGGCGCAGGTTCATTTGGAGTTATGTTTCCTGCGCTAGTAGTGTCGGACCAAGCCCAAGAAGCCATGAGGGCTGCGGCTGTGGCTGTCGTTCCTTGGAGATATGTGCTTCCTACTTTGGCGTTACGCTTTCTCAGCGCAGAACTGTGGTAATTGCGTAAGTATGGAAAATATGATGGTTGCACTTCGTAGTGGAACTAAGCTATACAGCACCAACGACCCAATTATGAATTACAACTGTGCCGAGTAGAAGGACACAGGTTGGGTCTTAAAAACGCAGCTATCAAATATGCTTGAATCATGTTCACTATGGTAGATTGGTTGGAAGCATGTGGGTTGGCAATGTGGTTCACATGACGTAATATAACCACGTCATACCTCATACGCCCCAAAAATCGACTAAACTGGTGCTGAAGGACTTATGTAAGTCCTTATTCCATAATTCTATTGAATTTGAACTGGAGCACGAAGGAGACAATCCGTTCAAGGGAGTCGAGTCGCGCGGTCAGGCGCAGCTCTCCATCGGACATGAAATGGTAAATCTGTCATAGCCCAAATGCTAGAGGCTGCAGAGCCCGTTCTTTGATAAATCTTTAATGTATCACCCCTTGAGCGCTGTTCACGATTGCCACAACGATATGGATCTTCCTCCAATGAGAAAAATACCGCCGTTTCATGGCGGTGGCTTGCTTGCCCGCAGTTCCCTCCCCCCCTCCCCCAATACAGTAATCAACGCAACTTCGATTTCAGTCCTTCTTCCTGAGTAAGCCATCTATGAGTCTAAGAGCCATCTGGCTCCTATGTACTACGCAACCTCGAAAACACCAGCTCAGTGACGAGCATAACCGAACGTCCTATGCGCCATTGTTTTTCCCTAGTCAACCAAATTGCTCATCAGCCAATAACCAGCCAACCTACTTCTATCATCTAACTATGGAAAGGAGAGCTAAGTGAGGGCGATGTAAGCAGTAATCCTTGCCCTACGCTGCGACGCCAGCAGGGTCAGGTTACGCATGTGAGCGCAGGTTAGGCGGCGGGTTGAAATAAAACATGAAGATAGGGGCCCGCAACGGGCTGTGCAAGGTAGTATCGTCTTTGAGACAGAAATTTGCACACCACAATTTTGCAGACCAGGAAAATTCCGCACGTCGTCGGGATATTTGTTACATCCTCCGTCGTTTCCAATCAAAATGCGACCGAAGGTGCAAGTTTGCGATTTAACTACTTTTCTAACGACTTGTCAATTAGGAGGGAGTGAAGATCGTCTGCAAGTTCTGCAAGAAGTCAGCAATCTTGCTTTCGGGATAAGCTTCGTTCACCTTCTGGTCGCTACGTCTTCTACTGGCTGCGGTTGTTGCTGCAGTACTCCGCAGAACTCCGCGGTTGCATCGTGAACAATACGGAACGATACAGCCGCTCAGGCAAAAAACTGAGTGATTTTCGACTCCCTCGATCCGTCACGAACTAGTAAAATGGAACGGGTTTAAAGGACGGTGGCATGGAGAGTTAAGAAGCGATTTGTACTGCTTGGCCGTACTAACCCTGATAAATTCACAGCAGCTCGAATCGCTATACAAGCAACCCATCATTATGTTCTGATGATGGAATGCTCTTGGGACTCGTGCTTCTTAACTTGAGCAAAAGAAACGTGCAGAACCCAGCTGGGCAGCAGCATATGAAGGCCAACCACCAACCACACGGACTGAAGTTCGTGTTTTCTGAGCTATTCGCACTCTTTTTGTGATTCAAAGGGAATACACTATTTACTGAAGGCAGCATGGCCTAGGAGCAGGCAAAAACGAGTCCACTAGAGGGCCTTTCATGACGTGAATCTGGGCTTTCTAAGCGACACAGATACATCGATAGGTTTTATACTGGATAATCAATATTACTTTCGTATCTCTGCCAAATTTTATTTTCCTACTGCCGGAAAGAACTTTGGAAAGTATTTCAAACCTCAAAGCTATGAGCCTTGAAAAATCCGATCCGGTCCTGCAGCTGTCCTGCTATCCAGAGCTAGCTAGAAGAACAGCGTGCGTTCATGCTATCTGTGGTAGGTGTGCGAAATCCCGGCATGATTCGTGCGTTATAGCTACCAGAGGCCGCTGCAGCTCCGTTGTGCCAACCGTGTTCTTAGGCTTGGAAACTCCATAGTGAAGAGGCCCGGGACAATAATGCGCCACCGGGCGTTGGAGTGCGTTTCAGACCTTGAGCTGGCGGTGGAGGTTATATCACCGTGGGAGGATAAGGAAGTGAGATAGCAGTGAATACGGAATCGTTAAAACTTTATAGGTGCTGTCGGCTGGTTGCCTCTTGACAGCCAAATAGTCCGCCTAGATGGATGGATGGATGGATGGATGTTACAAGCTTCAGCGAGCTCGTACGGCCCAAACGAACCCGGAGGCTCATGAACCGCTTTGACAGCGCCGTCGATAGGGAAAAAAAAAGAGAAAAAGTAAACGAAGCAAACACAACAAACAAACAAAAAAAGGAAAGTTTTTCGCAAGGAGAAAACGGGTGTTTATGGGAAAGAACAGCGTCAATTTGACTCTGAAACACAATTGCCTGTTACCGCCGAGAAAGTTAGGTAGTTAGGTGCTCATGCCGGGAGCGAAACATCTCAAAAATAGCCTTTGCAAGACCACGCTGATCATCCACTTGCATGATATCACGGATGTTCGCATTGACGGGCACACCGAGGTCCCAGAGCTTCTGACGCGCAGACATAATCGCCGGACATTCTACCAAGAAGTGTTTCTCATCCTCAATAGCACCATTACTACGACACACAGCGCACACGCGGTGCTCCCTAGATGGTGCTAACCTGAAGAAGGATGACGGTACGACAGGCGGCTGTACGATAGTACGAAAGGAGTTGTCCTGCTTACGCGTCACAAGTTATTATTACATATTCGGCATTCCCGTGATAATTGACGGAGTGCACGTAACAGACAATTATCGATTTTTGGGGGCAGGAAAGGTCCTTGCCTTTTTCCTGGCTAGTACGGGTCCATCCGGCCCGGAGGGTCCACAGCGCGAAAATACTGTTGCTCAATGTGCTACCGGTAAACTGCCTTTTGGTGATATTGGTGATATCTGCCTTAACCTCGCGCCCATCCCACGCCAAGCCGCTTAGAGACATGAAAGATGCCGGCAGATGCCGGTGTCTGGATCGAGTGGCAGCATCTTGTAGTAGTAAGGGAGCAAGGCTGGTGTGGCTCGATGACACCGGGGCTGTGTTACCTAGGCCATTTCACCAGTGCTCATACGTTTCTGATTAGGTGACCGCTGGATGCTGCTAAGGCAGGCCTCGTAGTGTGGGTGTTACGAAACACAGACCGCAGTGCAGCGGCGCCGGGACAGGCGTGCGGTTGGCATGAGCGACGGCACCTGAAAAAGTGCGGAATCTTTTCGTATTCGGGATCCCCTTTGCGGAAGCTTGCGAAAACTATAAATTTCCTATATAAAGCTATTTTTAGCTCTTTGCAGTGTTGCACAGACATGGATAATCTCAAACACGCTCTTGGCAATGCGGTTTAGTCTCGTGGGATCTAAGCTTTGGCGGATTCCAACAGTGCTCGAATGTAGGGGTTCCTAAAAGGGAATTCCGGATGTGGGGAGGGGACGTAGTGACGGACTCACGTGTGCCCCACACCCTTGCCGGTGTTTACCCTGGTCCCTGCAAACATTCCGCCTCTGTTCGACCCCCAATCCCCCAGGCCAGAGCACCCTTATCGTAGACCTATCACGGACTTGTAGTAAGCGCTGACTTCAGGAGCGATGGCAGGGCACTCCTGGCCAAGGTGAAAGCGGACTTCAGGCGTTTCCAGTGGCGACAGCAGCCCTTGCAGGTTGCAGAGCAGTTCTTGCTCTTGTCATAAGGTCCTCTCTCAAGATGTTTCCAAACGTCGGTAGCAGGCCTTCCACCCTTTGTTTGAGCTGAAACACAGTCAATCTCTATGTTTTCGTCAGCCCCAAGGTCGGACGCAGTGATTGCAGACATTTACCATAAACCTCATATCAATAGTGAAGTAAGCGCACTATGTATATGGCAAACGCAGGCGTGGAATTTGTTTTTGACTTTCCGCCGTACTGCAAAATCCCTTTCCGCACTTCCGTCATTCTGCACGTTTCGGTATCATGTAGATCCCTGACCAGTCAAACAACAAGCACTAATGTGCAATCCGGCTGTCTCACTCACATTTTCATACATCTAAGCATATCCATTTTTAAACATGCCCGAGTCAGCTGATGATGAGCGCCCAACCAAGGTGCCCCGCAGCTCCCTCGGAATTCGCGCGTTCTTTAAGACAATTGGTAAGTTCCTATCATACAAGTAGTATAGAAGTGGCGCTATGAAAGTACCTTGGGAACTGATGCGGAGTTTACACCAATGCAGAGAAATCTACTCCTGCTGCTAACGGCAAAGCTGCTGAACATCTTTCAGTGAACATTGACTGTAAGTTTCGATAAGGTCGCTGCAAACCCCAAACGTTTTGTCGACCGACAGTCTTGCGTCGTTACTATGAAAGTAGCCAGAAAACTAACCAGCAATCGTTGTTAAACACTGCAGCAGCACCTGGGCAACCAATCATGGCTCAGCCCCCGCCTGCCCCGGCTGCACCTGAGGTGGTCGACTTGCCAGGCAAGCAACGGAAGGCGCCTGTCTCTGACATGGGGCAGGCAACCTTCGTGAAGAAGTACCCCTGGTGGCAGCAAACCGGCAAAAATAAGCAAGGCCACGCGATTGGTGGCTGTAGCATTTGTCAGCAGAACAAGCGGTCGGGTGGTGCCCAGAAGTTCATCAACGGCACCGCTGTCGTGAAGGACTCCAATGACCTCAAGAAGCACGATCAGAGTGTCGGCCACGCTGAGGCCGTGTTCATTGCAGAGGCGCGGCGCCTCCTTGGGTTCGGGTAAAATCCTTGCCTGAACGATTGCTCCCAGGCGCTATGTTCCAAGATAAAGTCATAAGCACCTGTTAATTCAGCCGTCTTTCTAGCATATTACGATAGAATCCAGCTAAATTTTGCCCCGAAAACCGCTTCCGACAGTTTCGGGGTGCTCGAAACAGAGGTTTGCAAAATTTGGGGGATTGGGAGCAGGTACTGGTCAGGCGGGATGGGGAATAGGGTGACGACGTCAGGATGGGATGTAGGGGCCAATCAAAGGATTAGGATTGCTATACTTTCAGGGTGGAGTTTGCTGTCGGGGTGAGGATGGGGATGGGAACCCTGTCAGAGGGATGGGGATTGAAACCTTGACCAAGGATGGGATTGGGAACCCTGGCCAAGGATGGGGATGGGACCCTGGCTGACAGGATGGAGATTGCAGGCTGTCACGGTTTTAGGATGGGCTCGCCGCCGCAGGATGAGGATTGGGGACACAGCTCGAGGATTAGCATGGGGGTTCCGAGGTAAGATGAGGGCTCAGGCTGCAGCTGCAAATTGGCGAATACTGACAGGACTGCAACAGACCAAGGATGGATGGTGTCGTTGTCCATATATGGTTGTGTTGTAAATGGTAACTATGCCGTTGCTTAGCACGTAATGCATACAACCTTAGCACATCGTTGTGTTACAAGTTAGACAGATAAGCGCAAGCTAATATAGGGCAAGGAGCCCAGAGATGCCCGTGCAATCTGCACGGCATGATACGGAAACCAGTTCGTCCAGAGAGCTGACCGCCACAAACTTAGTTCTACAACAGGTTGCTTACATGATGTGCTATTACTTATGACCCATCTCACGGAGTCTGGTGAAAGCATTTACATGGTCGCCAATGCCAGTACCAAACATGCACTTCGTCCAGGTCAATTCCGTTCACACACTTCACCCCATGGGTCAGCAATACACGGTAAACTGAACACCGCGATATGTCTTCACAAAGCAAGGCGCCCCTGCCCATGTGGAATCAGCTATAACGAACAGCACCATAATCAGCTGTCCAGGTATAGCCCATGCCCATGTTCACCAGCACCACAACGGGCCTCACATTTCCCACTTGACACACGCGAGCACATCTCACCAAACGCGGCCCCTGCAGGCTGCACCACTCTCGTCTGCCAAAAGCCTGGTCATTGCTTATTAGTCACGTCCCATAGCAAACCAAACACAAACACAAGGAAGTTCTATGAGTTGGCAACACCGAATCTAGGCTGGGGAGTTATCCATGCATTTTTGCTTCATGCCATATGGCTAGCACATATGGCTAGCACAAGACACAACAAACCAGGGCTTTACTTATTTGTTCATGCAGTGTTACTGCCCTCCTCAACCCCTGGATGGGAACCCTGTCTGAGGGATGGGGTTAGCACCGGCCCTTAAGATGGGGTGGCGGTTGCCCCTGCCAGGATGGGAGGATGGCTGACCAATACCCACCCCCAGGATTGGGGAATTAGACCCCCTTTGCAACCCTCTGCTCGAAATAACTTTCAGTCTGACAGGGAAACGTTCGGGGAGGGCCCCAATAGGTGATCCAGAGGGTTTCGGGCACAACCGAAATATTTGGGTATCCTGGTGAAGAACCCAAGCCGCTTGGGGCTACGAAGGCATCCGGAGGTCGATCCACTGAGCCCGTCCCTCTCTCTCTGTTTGAATGTCTGGTGGTTGGACAACGAAGCCGGGCGGCAGCGGTACAATTCCGAAGGATAGGGAGGTGAATGGCACCGGTGTGAGTGCATTGCAGCTGTAGAACACATGCGCTCAGTGGAAACGGAGGTTGCTTGGCATTTGAGCTGGTGTATGTAGCTGGCAAGAAGATTCGAACAGGTGACGGCGCCTTGAGTTGTTAAGGGAGAACGGTTAGGAATCTGAACGATACAACGCCCCTCCAATGATGGAGTCCTTCGACGGTCGTTCCCGCTGGGGTACGGTTAGGTGCCCCTGGCCAGCGTCAGGCCCGAATCGATATGACACACACACACACATATACACAATAGTTTAGGCGGCGATAATCCTTCCGTTGTTAATTATTTGTTCCGTATTCTCCATAAGCAAATAGGAACATCATGCATCATCTCAGCCGCGCCAGCTGTCTGAACCGCCCCAATTTGTTTTCCCCCTTTGCGCCGCAGGTTCCCTTCGGAGGAGTTGCCACTGGACGGGCAAATGCCCCATAGCCAGCCACAGGACTTCCTTGTTCCTGTCCTGGCAACATGAAATCGATGTTGCCTCGAGGACATGATTGACCAGTGCGACCTGCTGTATGGCAAGAGAGCTCTGACATGCTCTTACCAACCACTGTACAGTTTTACAGCAAGCATGCGCGCAAGCATGATCGTCCTCTCTCGCTCAATTACTTTCATCTCGCAATTCATTTACAAGTATAGCATAACACAGGCGTACATACTTACAGATATGATCGTACACATACTTACAGATATGTATACATCCACGCCTTTGGGGGGATTTAAGGGTAAGGAACACACATACCCATACGCACACACACATATACGCACATATACGCACATGCACACAAGCCATGGAGCTATCATCAGCCACCTCTCACTTACACAAGTTTTTTAGCACGTAAAACCCTAAAATACCCCTCTAATAGAGGCCCTCTACGCCACATCATCAGTTAAGTGCTCGCGCGGTTACAGCCGGTTACACCCGCCTCAAGCCGCCACTCCGCAGGGGATAGGCGTGTCTTTCTTTCACGATGCCTTTACACACCCCCACCCACACGCCCACCCCAACACACCCACTCTCTCTCTGTGGTACAGACGCTCACGGACCATTTCAAGAGAGCCCGCACCACATCAGCTGATTGCGTGGTGATGAAGAGACGGCTTCCGGAGGACAGACAGACAGATGGACAGGCAGACGGACAGACAAGGCGGACGGAGACAAACGCTACGGAGTCCGGAAGACTGTGTGTCGTTGGACCCCTCGAGGGGGTCCAATCAGACAGCCTGATTGAACCCCGACCAAAGCCAAAGTTTAAATACCCGTAGCAAGGCACGAATCCCTTTGCATTGGGAGACCAACCTCCCCTCCGTTTACCTCTCCATCCCCCACCCCCGTATTAGCCTCCGTATTACCCTCACTTCTCCATCATTCCATCCAGAGCAAACAGCAACACACGCGCAATGCGAGACACGGGATGCAATCCAAAAACACCAAGACATGGCGGTGTTCGTCGGTATTTGTGTCAGTCGAAACACTACTGCTCGTGCCGGTACGTCAGGTGGCCAGCTGCCGCGTCCACCCCGCACTCTCCCCCTCCGCCTCCTCCACCGCCTCCGTTGGGTGTTACTCCGCCTCCTCCTCCACCCCAGGGTTCCCCTGCCTCCCCTTCGCCTTCCCCTCTCTCTCTCACACACACACTTAACGATATACATACACACACATATACGCCAACCTCGCACGCACCTCACGTCCCAATATTTAACGATTCCTGCCAGTTTTAGGATGTTAATTCGTTTGATGTTAAGCCATTATGGCAAGAAAGGAAAACCCAGCGTGGTTATTTTCAGTTGACCGAGTACGACAATACGACAGTCCACTACGATAGCACGGCATCAACGAAGTTTGGGAGGTTTCGATACTCTTGCTCTCCTACTGCGACGCAGTCGTGCCCGCCGCTGCCGCTGCAGCCGCCGCCTTCTTCGCGGTGTCCTCCCACAGAAAGCGGGGATCATCACCCATCAACTTAGCCAGCTTCTGGTTGAAGGGCCGGTAGAAGTCCTGCGTGTATTGCGCGCGCGCGTGTGTGTATTGCGTGAGTGTATCGAGCCGGGGGTTACGGCGGGGAAAAGCACGGGGAGGCGGGGGATTGAGTTTACGAAAAAGGGAAGCACCGTTCATACCAGACCCTATAGAATAACACCAACCACCTCAAATCGGGCACAGAAGGGCCGCAAAGGACTACTTAGGTACCGAAGGGACTGAAATTTTGAGAGGGAAGACGCGTTCGGGAGATTTGGGGAAAGGCACTCGGGCAGAGCCGCCATTGGAGCCCGGGGTATGGGAGTTCGGAAGCGCAAAAGGGGCCGGGGGGGTTGGGGGGTGAAATCATCGATTGACGGGTATGGAAAAAAGGGGGAGAGGGGAAGTGAAGGGGGAAATGCCCTTCGAACATACGTTGTCGAACACAGTCGCACACAAAGCATAGTCGCACCTCCAGCATCTTCCTTGATTTCGGCCACATTCGCGGGTACTTCTCACTCTGAGCATTGAAGCGGCGAAGGCGCATCATGGTGGTGGTCTCCTCGTCCGATAGGTCGCGCATACCTGCAGTAAAACACACAAAATACATATACATACATACATACAATACATATGGACAAAAAACACCATCCCCAATGTTGGTTTTCCCGTTATTCCCCCCCCAACCCCCCCGACCCCTTTCGAGAACCTTCAACCTGGCCGCCACCACCCCCACTACCCCCACCATCCCGACCACCGCCACCACCCCCACCATCCCCTCCACCCCCACCACCGCTCCTATTATTCCTCCTTATGCCCGACTTCCCTTCCTTACACGCCCTTCTCTTCACTCCCACACCACCACCACCACCACCACCAGCAACACACGTACCCAAAAACTTAATAACCGCTTGGATGTGCTCCTGCGTGTGTATGTATGTGGTGGGGGGGAAGGAGAGGGGGAAAAGGAGAGGGGGGACAATGCTCAGGACCTGAAGTCAACTGCTGAAATCAGTGTCAACAACAGGCGAAACCTGGTCTGTGTGTGTGGTGGGTGGGGGGAGGGGTTGGGACGAACCACAGACGGGAGGTGCTGATACCAGACGTGGGACAAAAAGGGAAAGGCGCCAGGCAATCGTTTTCTGAGCATAAAGCAGCTAACACTGTCTGACTTGGTTCAGACAGCCCCCCCTCGGCCGATTGCTATATTTCATAATTCGACATTAGCGGTATGCCACCACCACCACCACCACTACCACCACCACCACGACCACCACCACTACCACCGCTCCTAATACAAATCCTCAATCCGTCCCCCCCCCCACCCTCCCCCACTCGCACCCTCATGGTCAGCCGCTTTGAGACGTATTGGCAGTTCCGCCGGATACTCGCGGCCAGAGCTACTTCAGGTTGGTCTTCCCCCCTACCACACATCACCCCCCCCCACAACCACACATAACCCCCCTCCCCACAAACA